CTACATACAAGGTCTCTATACTGAAAACTATAAAACATTGCTGAAAGAAATTAAAGAAGACCTAAATAGAGATATTCTATGTTCACGGAATGGACTGCTCAATGTTGCTCATTGTCCCTAAATTGATCTGTAGAGTCAATGTAATCCCAATCTTAGTCAAATCTAGGCTTTTTTTTTTTTTTTTAGAAACTAACAAGCTGATACTAATATATATGGAAATGCAAAGGACATAGAATACCCAAATAATCCTGAAACAGAAAACTAAAACTGTTCTTAACACTAACTTCAAAAGTTACTACACAGCTACCATATTCAATACAGAGTAGGTTCATTCTCTTGGCCAGAGCAGCAGCAGCAGCAACAACAAAAAAAAAAAAAAAGGAGGAGGAAAGGTATTATCCAAAAATCAACAAGTAGATAATGGAACAGAACATGGAGTCCAGAAATAGACCCACAAAAATATGATCATTTGATATTTTTTATAAAGGTGCTAAAGCCTTTAGGGAAAAGTAAAGTCTGTTCAACAAATAGTGCTGGAACAGCTGGATATCTACGTGGAAAAACCCTAACCACTACCTCACAGCATAAATAAAAATTAATTTGAAATGGATCATAAACCTAAATATAAAAGCTAAAACTGAAATACTTTTGGAAAACTATTTAGAGATTATCTTGGTACCTTAGGGAAAACAAAGGTTTCTCTAGGTGAGATACAAAAAAACCACCATGAAAGAAAAAGTGCTCAATATTATTAGTCATCAGCAAAATACAAATTAAAAATCACAATGTGATCCCACTGTAAACCTACAAAATGGCTAAAAATCAAATGACTAGCAACACAAAATGTTGGCAAGGATATGGAACAAATGGAACTCTGGTACAGGTTGAGTGTCCCTTACCTGAAATGCTTGGAACCAGCAGTGTTTGAGACTTAGGGTTTTTTCATATTTGAGGATATTTCCATTATGTTTACTCATTGAGCATCCCAAATCCAGAAATCTGAGATGCTCCAGTGAGCATTTCCTTTGAGCATCATGCTGGCACTCAAAAAGTTTTGGATTCTGGAGCATTTCAAACTTTTGCATATGGGATGCTCAACCTGTACGTTGTTGGTCGGAGTGTAAAATGGTAACAATCCCTTTGGGAAAAGGCCTAGCAGTTTTGTAAAAACCTAAATATACATTTATTCTATAACACAGCAATTGTACTCCTAGATATATACCCAAAAGAAATGAAAATGTCCATTAAAACACCTGTATGTTTTTAGCAGCTTTATTCATAATAACCAAAATAGAAAACAGCCCAGGGGTCTATCAATAGGAAAATGAATAAACTGTGGTATACTCAGAGGAATACTACTCAGCAAAAAATAGATGAACTGCTGATATACACTATGACCTAGATGAATCTCAAAACATCATGTTGAGTGAAAGCCTTAAATAAAGTAGTACATACTGTATGATACCATTTGTATGACGTTCTGGAACAGGCAAAACTACTATACAGTGGGGGAAATAATCAGAACGGTGGTTAACAATGGAGCTAGGGTAAGGATTTATTGAGAAGGGACACAAGGAAACTTCCTGGGATAATGATCAGGGTCTTTACTGGATAAGGTTTAGATTGTACAGGTGTATGCTTTTATCAGAATTCAAGGAACTGTACAGTTAATATCTACCAGTTTCACCATATTAATGTATTAGCTTTATACTAAAATGTTAATTGTATAAATAAATGTTAATGGTAGATCTCGGAGGTAGGTATATTGTTTACTGTAAAATTCATTCAGTTTTTCTTAATAAAGTGCTGCAAAAAAAAGATTTTAAAAAGAACCAAGTTTTAGAATGAAAAACACACTGAATTAAATTTAAAAGTAATACAAGTTCTTTATAGAGAACTTACAATATGCATAAAAGTATTTTGAGGAAGTAGGTAAAAAACATTAACAATCTCATCAGAGGCAACCACTATTGGTATGGTGGCACATTTCCTTCTAGTCAAGTTTTTTTGGTTTGTTTTTAAGCATTCTTTATTTTTCTACACAATTTATTGTGATGTTACCAACATCAAGTAAAATACTCATTTTCATCATTTGCTTCTGTTCATCTGTTTTCTTGAACAAAACTTGAGGTGAAGATGTATTTTTTAAAAACCACAGCTAAAGGACATTCATCTGCAGCTATCCATACGCTCATTACATGCAGTGGTGGTCCCAGTTTTCTCACAGCTGTCTTTTGTTTTTCTTTCTTGAGAAGAGGTCTCACTCTGTTGCCCTGGCTAGAGTGCAGTGGCATCATCATAGCTCACTGCAACCTCAAATTCCTCAGGTTATCTTCTTGCCTCAGCCTCCCAAGTAGCTGGAACTCCAGGTGAGTACCACCAGGCCAGGCTAATTTTTCTATTTTTAATAGAGACAGGGTCTCACTCTTGGTCAGGTTGGTCTCAAACTCCTGGCCTCAAGCGATCCTCCCACCTCAGCCTCCCAGAGTGCTAGGATTGTAGGCGTGAGCCACCACGCCCAGCCCACAGCTATCTTTTAAGACAAACATTTGTCACAGTGACCTTCATATACCTTCAAAACTCATAGGCTTTGCTGTACCTCCCTCGAAGAGCCCAGCGACTGGCCTGCAGGCTCTTGTACCCTGCCAGCATGACTGATGGTTTCTCTTGTACCTTACTCCATCAGTGGCTGCAGAGGAAAGCCATTTTTTTCTTTACAGAGTTAAGATCATACTGTTTATAAAATCACGGGGTTTTTTGATGTTGTTTAAGATATTTTCCCATGCCTTTAAAAAATCTTCATAAACACAATTTTTAATGGTTACATAGTATTTCTTTACACGGATGTGCCCCTATACTATTGGTTATTTAGGTTGTTTTTCACTTTTCTAACTAAACTATTTTGAGAACATAGATTTTGCTTCACATTTCAGATAATTTCTATTAGGGGAAACTAAATGTCAACTGTTAGTACCCCAACTTCCCTAACCCACAGTTCTTGATATTGATCTCTGTTCAGTTGGCTTAGGATTTATCAAATAATTTTTTCAGGAAGATATGTAATGGTATATTTGAGTCCTTATCTATTTATTTTTCTTTACATATGAAAGTTTGGCTAAATATGAAATTCATGGGTGGCAAACTTTCCCCTCAATCATATAGGTGCTATTGCCAGTCTCTAGGTACTTAGAGCTGCAGGGAAGAAAAGACAGGTTTGGGTGTTTTTGTTTTTTGACGTATGTTCTTTTTCTGGCTTAGATGTTTGTGGGATTTTTGTACGAATTTTTCTTTCTTTATCCTTGTAATCTAAAAGCATGTCTAGGATATTTAGGTGTGTGGGCGGGGGGTCTCTTCACTGAGTTGACTGGAGGCCAGTAAACCCTTTTAATCTATATATAAATGCTGATAAGCTAGATCAGAAAAGATTTCTTCGATCTTATATCTCATTATTTTGTTTGTTTCAATGATTCTCATTTGTTCTCTGAAACATCTGTACTGTTAGGTTGGATTGCTAGTCTTTCTTCATTTAATAATAAGTATTTATTGAATACTTAATACATATGCTGGGCAATGTGCTAGGTCCTCAGAATAGTGAAAGAAATAATCAGTATAAAATAATGGTTAAAAGCATGGGATCTGGAATCAAAATGTCTATGCCTTAGGTGACTAACTTTGGACAAACGGTTTAATTTGTCTAGCCCAATTTTCCTCTTCTGTAAAAATAGGAATAATAATAATAATAAAATACTTTAATGGGTCATTAGAAGATTAAAACAACTCGTGCTCAGTGCTTGGCAAATGGATACTCAATAAACATTAGATATTGTTATATATGGAACTAACATTTGGAAGTTCTTCTACCTCTTTTGTCTTTGCATCTCTTCATTCTTTTCCATTATATTTTGGTTTCTCAAATATGTCTTATATATTATTGATTTAGGTTTCTTTTTGCAATGTCAATTTTGCAAACCCCATTGCTTTAAGTATTCATTGAGAGTTCATATAAAAATGAAATGAGAATTCACATACAAACAGTACAGTTAGGTGATCAATAAATATTGGTTCTTGTCTAGAATGATCAGGAATTCCTGAAAGGGATGGACATGGTAGGGTTCTCCATGTTCCCCTCACCCCTGCATTTTTTCCCACTGGGTAAATTTTTAAGACCTCACATCTCTATCAATTGAGCTTTTTAATAAGTTATTTAGGTGCTCAAGGAGAGCTATTACTGAGTTACTACTTCCTAATCAGTATGCCCACTGTTTTATGATAAAGGCTTCACATTTATGTTTTAGGCATTCTTTCCACTAAACCCTGAGCAACCCCCAAACAAAGTGATAAGGTAGGCTGAGTTTTGGCTTCCCCTTATTTCTATACCATCTGTTAGAAATTCTTTGTAGTAAGACATTTATGATTACATGTCATGCTTTGCTGACTCCTGGTGGCCTTTCAGGCACTCTGGTGTCAGGAAGATTTTTCCTTGCCCATCTAAATCACACAATTCTGAATATGAGCATAGTAAACCCTCCACATAACAAATACTTAAATTTACCACAGCGTCTAACATAGGTATTTACTGTATATCAATGCAAAAGGTAAAGAAAACTAGAGAAGTACCTTTGGATAAATGTTTCTCATTGGCCTCCTGGAATCAATTTCTGCTTTCTTTATATTCTAATATTTTAAAGAGGGCACATCTTTTTTTTTTTTTTTACTGTTGATAAAATGGCTGGAAATAAAGGGCACTTTTAAAGCTTTTAGAGGTACCTAGATTTTTATACCCTTCTCAAAATATTTGACTTCCAAGCTAAATGTTCATATATGTGTTCATTATTATTTTTAAAAAACAGAATGAACTGAAAGGGACTGAATAGAGGAGAGTAATAAATAGGAGACTAACATTCTACTAAAAACAAGCTGAGGTTCGATGTGTAGTTACTTATCTATGCATCTAAGCATACCTCTGCTAATGAGGAGGTCAAGGATAGAATCTTACAAACCTGCACGAGATAATCAGCAATGTATTCTGTTTTCAAGCAGTACACATTCTGGGCAGCGGCTTCTGCTATATTAACTCCTGAGTCATCTGGTTTCAGCTTATTAAAGTCAGAAAAAAGATGTGTGGCTTCTTTGAATAAAGGTACAGAATGCCCAGGTAGCACCTAATGAAAAAACAAGAAGTATCACAATGTACCAGTATTCCAAAGTAGTTCCACTGTACACTATGTCCTTAAGGATTACCATCTCAAAAAGTAGAGAAAATCAACAATCACAGTAACCTTGATTTGATAATTATTTATGTAAAAAATTCAGTAAATTAATTCAATACAAACCTTTGCTCCTCCTGACTGAAGAAGGCGTTTGAACCCTGCTTCTCGAGATTGACCAACATGTAAAATAACCTTCCACCCGCAAAATGCCCCCTACAAATAAAAAATAATCAGTGTTGAAATCATTTTGAAAATGACAAAGTAATACAGATAATGCATGATTTTCCCTGTAGATTTAGTTTTATAACTAATGAATTTTATAACCTTTACTTTTGCTGTAGTGTAATTGTCTCTAGTCAGAATACTCCAAACACACAGCCATGATATCTGGCACATAGTAGGCCATTAATAAATACTCGAGGAATGAGAAAAACTATTTAATGATTATGTAACATTAAAGCAGCCTGACTGATTTATGTTTAGTCGTTTTTAATTATTCTTTTTCTTACAATTAACCACGGGTACAGCTTAAAGCACAACTTCTTAGATTAGATGAAGCCTACAATATTTCTCTTGAGAATGTCTACAAATTGGAAAAATAAAATATTTAAGTAGTAAATAAAAATTAACAGAAGACAGTGGAATTACTCAAAATGGAAGGGAATCACAGCTAAGAAGGATTGGGAGGTATCAGAGAACCTGGAATACAACATGAAAGATTATTTAACTCAGGGGTTCTTAACCTTTTTGTGAGCCATGGACCCCCTTTGACAGTCTGGTCAAACGTATGGACCTCTTCTCTAAATGCGTTTTTTAAAAATAACAGTTTATTGAGATTTAATTCCCATACCCATACAATATAGGTAATTTTTTTTAATGTTCCAGATAAAATATAAAGAATTACATAGGAAACCATTTTTTTATTGAAAATTGTCAAAATATTAAAAACAAACCTATAATATAATAATAGATATGTTTTATATTAATGCATTAAATCACAAAACCTAGTGGTGGCTCTAATAACTACTATAATTTTAAAGTACTAATGAACACAAACAGTATTTCAAGATACCTGCAATTATAATGCAAAACAAAAAACATCTGATTTCTGTTAATGCAAAGTTACAGGTACTGTTGATAGTGTTGTGACTTGTTGCCTAGATTGTCTAGAATTATAATTAAAGGAAGTGCTAACTATATTAACCACAATTAGAAGTTAATAAAAATAAGGATGTATTTTTTCCCCTATCCAACATATATGGTCTTCCCAAATCTGATCTACAAATTCCTTTGGGAGAGTCTCTGGACCCAGGTTAATAACCCCTGAAACAAGATGCTAAAAAGATTCTTTGGAAGAAATGCAGTAAGGGCCACATTTTACATATATAAATTATTTTTAAAAGAGCCATCAACATTATATATAGATATATTAATGTTGAACACAATTAAGAAGAATTAGGAATTAACATTAAGCTCAATATAGGATACCCAAATTAAAAGACAAGTAGAATTATTCTTACTTGGTCAAGCAAATTCTCTTAAAAAAAAAAAAAAAACGAAAACTGGAATAGTCACAATATGGAATGCCATTTATATTACCTACATAATTATGTATGTTAATACCTCAACAACACCCGATTCTTGTCTTTGCTGGATTTTTTTCCTCCATCTCATTGCTGCAAGTGCTAGTCTTCGTTGCTGTACGTTGATTCCAGTCAAAACATCAAGTATGGAACTACTTCCCCATTCATAGTCTTCTTCCTAGAGAATTTGTCCACCAAACTTTTGAGTTTCTACAATATTGGGGAATCACTGTGTTCCATACAGGTTTCTGTCCTCAAGGAACTCACAGTCTAATAATAGGTAAAGCCATGCATTCAATTGTTGTAAATACAGAAAGGACTAAAGCATCATTTTGTTAGTGTGAAAGAGATGTAAATTTGGTTTCATATAAGAGTCAAGTATATCTGGTTTTTAATTAAAAATAAAAATACTGCATATATTTTTAAGAAACAATGATAATTACATCTTGGCAACTGATAATTATCATGAGATTATCAGGCTTCACTTGCTGTAAAAGTAACTTCACAGAAGGACACAGTCTCAGGAGGTATGATCCCTAAGGGACTATGACTAAAAACTTCTAAAACTACATCGTGGATACAATAGTGATGGTCTGTCAGGAACCAAAATACATGAAATAATTAGTTTTATATTTAATGGGCTAGTAGTCAAGATAAAAGCTTATAATGAGATAATCTTGAAACTTTCTAATCTTAAGAGAATGTTCTTTCAATTAAGCCACTAACATTACAATTAATTTTAAAAGTGAATAAAACTATCCATTTCTGTAATCTCTTTTTTTTTTGCTTTGTTATTGAAAACCTTATAAAGTTGGTATAATCTGGTCATATTTGGTTACTTCAATTATATGAGCACTCAGTGGATGTGTTGGAATCTCTTAAAACATTTACTTAAAAAAAAAAAAATCTCCATGAATGTGAATACACACCTGCACGAAGCGGCTAGCAGTCCTGCATGCTTCAAGGTAGGAGCGATGAAGCACCCACTTCCCAGCTGCCACGGAGGCTAAATACTTCTCATTCCGAAGAGGCTGTCCCACAACAATGTGTGTACAGTTGGGATCAAAACTCTGCTTTTCTATCACTAATCCACCTTAAGTAGAGAAAAATTGCTTGTATGTTATTGGTTCTTCTTTCTAGGAAAAATGTAATCTCAACCATGCATAGAAATCATTTATAAATACAATGCACCAAGCTATATAAACCAAAAAACCTTGACTGACAATTATTTCACACATAAAATAAAATATTATGAAAATTTTATTGTTTTTTTGAGACAGGGTCACGCTCTGTTGCCCTGGCTAGGGTGCAGTGGTGAGATCATAGCTCACTACAGCCTCGAACTCCTGGGCTCAAGCCATGCTCCTGCCTCAGCCTCGGGAGTAGCTGGGACTACCAGGATGCACCACTATCTCTAGCTAATTGTTTTTATTTTTTGTAGAGATGGGCTCTCACTTTGTTTCCCAGGCTGGTCTTGAACTCCCGGTCTTCAGTATCCTCCCACTTCAGCCTCTCAGAGTGCTGGCAATATAGGTGTAAGCCACCACACCTGGCCTCTTAAATCTCTCTTAAATACCTTAGTGATTTTCAAGTACTGAAGATAGGTAACCAGGAAGCTGGAAGTAAAACAGGGCATGTGTAGAAGAAAATTTTTTGTGAGTGGAAATATGGTCAACAGACCAACACAGAAGCTTGGGAGGAAAACATACAGATAAATAAGAGATGAAGCGCCAGGTGGGGAGCAGCAATAACTGAACCTCTTCTTGAATATACATGTAAAGCATGGCTATTGATTTATAGTTTAGAGGCCAATCTGACTACTGGTTAGGCAAAGTTGAATCAAGGACTTCCTAAGATGTTAACAAAACATTCGAACTCTACTCATGATTTACAGATAATTCTAATTATAGCAGCAACATTTTTTTGAGCATTTACTATACCCCAGGAACTATAAATGCTCCAGATTACTAACTCATTTAATCCTCAAAACACAATGAAAGTTACTGTTATTACCTGCATTTATACACGAGGAAACAGAGTAACTAACTCAGGATCACAGAGTCACAAAAGAACAAGGTATAATTCCATACTAATATCAACTTCCAATTCCACATAGCGAATTTACTCTGTGACCCAGACAACACAATAGGCTGATTTATTTATGTATTAGTCAGCCACTGTTGCTTCATTTATAAAATAAAGTGCTGGACACGATATCTGCTATCATGTCTCTTTGCATTCTAATACCAGAAAACCTCTAGGGTCACAGACTCCCAATGCCAACACACTCTGCACTCATCTGCCTTTGCTCCCTGCCCTCTTCTAGATAATTCTCTGCTAATTACTACTACTCTTGCCCCAAGTTTGCAGAGATGGAAAAAATCTATAGGAGCCAGACACTTGAAGACTTTCATTTTGGTGAGCAAAACTTAGCAATTCTGATTTATAACCCCAACTAATTTGTCAGGCAACTGAGGAACAAAGTGTTCCATATGAGTAAAGTTTCCAAAAAGAAACATAGCTTAAGTATACAACTATATTTGACAGAAATCTTTTTAAAAAAAGTTACAGTTCATCACATTCTTTAAAAAATAGTACTAAATAACATTTGATCTTTTCTTGATGACTTAGGGCCACTATTAAAAACAACCATTATTTCTTGATGTTTTCTCTGTGTCAAGCTGTCAGATTAAGTTCTCTTACTATTAATATAATTTTCCCAACTCTATAGAGCTGCTTTGTCCCATACAGTACCCATTAGACCCACGTGGCTATCAGACACCTGAGGTGTGCCAGGCACAGTGGTGTGCACGTGTAGCCCCAGCTACTTGAAGGCTGAGGCAGGAGCGTTGCTTGAGCCTAGCAGTTTGTCGCTGCAGTGAGCTATGATTGCACCACTGCACTCCACCTGGGCAACAGAGTGCACCCCACCCCCCGCCTTTAAAAAAACAAACAACTGAAGCACAGCTGGTCCAAACTGAGATGTGCTATAAGTATAAAATGTATGTCAGATTTCAAAGACTTACTACAAAAAAATGTAAAATATCTCACTGATATTTTATGCTGATCACATATTGAATTTTGCATATAATAGGTTAAGTAAAATATATGTTTAAAGTTAATTTTAGGCCAGGCAAGTTGGCTCACGCCTGTAATCCTACTGTTCTGGGAGGCCGCAGTGGGAGGATTGCTTGACATCAGGAGTTCAAGACCAGCCTGAGCAAGAGCAAGACCCCGTCTCTATTAAAAATAGAAAAAATTAGCCAGGCGTAGTGGTGCGTGCCTGTAGTCCCAGCTACTTGGGAGGCTGAGGCAAGAAGATTGCTTTAACACAGAAGTTTGAGGTTGCTGTGAGCTAGGCTGACACCACGGTTCTCTAGCCCGGGCAACAGAGCAAGTCGCTGTCTCAAAAAATAAAAAAATAATAAAGTTAATTTCACTTGTTTTTTTTCTACACATTCTAATGAGGCTACTAGACATTTTAAATTAGACATGTGGCTTTTATAGACTTCTCTTGGACAATACTCTAAATATTTAAGATTTTTAAAATCTGTTGCTCTGATCACATGTACAAAAAATAATAAAGTTAATTTCACTTGTTTTTTTTTTTACTTTTTAAAATGTGGCCACTAGAAAATTTAAATGATATGTGGCTCATTCTATTTCTATTGGACAATGCTGCTACAGCACACCAGGTTACTCTTCTAGAATGATGCCAGGCGGAGAGCCTGACCCTTCGTGGAAGGAGAATAATGTTCATAAGAAGGAGCTCCTTCCTAGATATCACTATCAAATCCATTAAAATGTGGTTTCATCTATATTCTAAATCTATAATTTCACTGATTTTTGTCCAAGGTTTCATTAATGAACAAATGCTCAAAGTGCCACGGAAGACTTTTAAACATTAACTGTTGGTTTCAATTTTAATCTTTTAGTGACTTTAGATTTAGATCAGAGTTTTATAAAATCAAAGCTCCAATGCTGACTCAATTGTGTAGCCTTAAAAAAGTTACCCATGTTCTTTTCTCAATTTCTAGATCTTAGAAATATCAATATTGACTACATTTGACTTCTAAATAAGATTACTATATGGGACATTTTTGATTTAAGTAAAATATTGGTACCCAGTTTTTCAATCAGATGACAATAATCGATACGTTCTTGAGGATTCAGAGATGACAACTGAAATATGTACTGTTTTTTTAATTCTTCATGAATCTCCTCTGTTGTTATAATCTGCAATGAAAGAGCTTTATTAGAAAAAATTAACATTAAAATTATCAAGTATATGGTTCTGTTAGAGTGATATTTTACTCAGTCCTCTTAAGTTATCAAATATACAAATAAGAATATAATGCCAAGAAATATAATTTCCAACAATTGATAAACCCATGATAGCAACATTAACAAATTTCTTTTTTTTTTTTCCCCATGTCAGACGGGTAATGTGCCGATGTCCTAACAAGGATTGAGGGAGGCACATCTCACGCATGTGCACGAAAACCCAATCATCATGCTTATGAACTACAAAAGGATCAACAAATTTCTAATACAGTATAATAGTAACATCCAAAAGCTGTATCACCATACCAAGATCAACAAACCTTTTCTCTAGGGTGTGGAGCCACAGGTGGGTTGGCGAGAGGGAAGGCAATACTGGGGGCTTGAGGAGTAGGGATAAGGTGGTTGTCTTTTATTGGCACTTCCAGTTCTTCAGAGATTGGGTGTTTTTGGGCTTCAGTCACACATCTGTCTCCAGGGTCACAGACAGCTGAGAGCAATAAAATGCAGTGTGATAGTATCCAAATACACCAAGAATAAAGTCTAGGAAATACTCTCATCTGCCTTAGCCAAGATGAAGTTAAACACAGACTCTGGAATGTACAAAGTACAACCAAAAAAGTATTCTGTTTCTAGAGCTTATAAATAAATGCAATTAATTAGCTTTAAAAGGGCAAATGTGTTATCTGTGGGCTTTTCCCAACCCTTTCCTTAAATACCAAGCTTTAATCAGTAAAGTGTAACTCAAATTTGTAAAATGACAGCAATTCTACACTTGGGAGAAAATTAGAATCAGAGATAAAAGATAACACATAGGAAGCATTTTGTTGTCAATGTAAAGCTCAAGGAAGAAAAAACAGGAAAATTCAATAAGAAATTCATATAATCTAAAGAACAAACATAGGTATGTGCTGGGCAGAATTCAGAAGACTTACATGAAAATAAGGTGATAGGGAGAAAAACCAAGCATTAACTGCACAAATAAAACAGGACTAGAATGAAAGAAAGAACAATGGTGAAAACCATATCTGGAAAAAATGCCTAATTCTAATTTCCAAATTTAAGAATCAAAATGTATTTTTCAATTTACTGATAAGTACCTCAATTTATAAATTATTTTTCTAACTCTTAAGTTTAAACCTCAATCAGAAATATTTAATAAGTTTCTCATTTGCATGTACAATTCAGAGAACCACAACATGCTTATCTGTTTATTTAAGAGGTCAACATGTATTATACTCAATACAAACAAGTTAACAGATTTCTTTCTTGTTACCCTGTTTGGCAATTTCTGAATCACCCAAAGGCTCCTGGAAAGGAGAATCTTCCAATTTTTTAGTATCAACCTGAAGCTCAGAGTATTGTGTGGGACAGCTAGGCCACTGCAAATTGCTTGCAAGCCTTGCTCTCTCTTCCCTTGCTGTAGGGTCATCCCAAATGATCTGTTCGTTTTGGGAGGGCTCTGTGTTGACATCGGGTACTGTTTGACGAGACTGCCTAAGGAATAAAAGTGACAATTTTAAATAAACAGCCATAATAAAATCCAAACTCATAAAATCCGTACATTAGATCATAAAGGGTGCGGTTTATATGCCGACCATCTAGCACATAATAGGCACCTGAAAATATTTACTGAATAAATGAACCTAGGGAAATTTTTCTTTTAAAAATGTTTCTCTCAGACACTTAGCTGTTTTAGCTAGAATATTAAACACATATTTTGAGTAAATGACTATATATTTAAAACTTCAAAGGGGAAAAGTTCAACCCCATCAAGAAATTTTTTAAAAGTTCTAAAATAACTGCTATATTTAAAAATGAGGTTTCTCTTAATTATATCAGTTAGGGAAACATGGTTATGTTTAGAAAACTGTGGTTACTTTGCTTAACAGTAGTTGTATTTTTTTAACCACTTGAAATTATAAGCTCTATAATTATATGGAAAGCTTACTATAAAGGCTGCCTTATAAGAAGGAACTTTTGGTAACCAAACTTTCCAGAGTCTAAGTTAGACCAGCCATATACTGAATTACAGTGAAGTGCATTTTATGGTGTAATTGTAACAATTCCACTTGAGAAAAAATAGAATTCCTACTGTTTTCTTTATATGTATGTGTCTATATATTATATTTTCATTCTTAGTTAAAATAATTTACCAAATCTGATAGTACCTCCAAAGGGTTCCTTTGCCTCAAAAACAAGGAAGATAGCCTTTTACACTCAGTGTATATTTATTTTCTGACTTGACACAGGATTTAGGTTCTCTATAATGATAAAACATGATCTGAAGTATATTAAACAAAAAGCAACTTTACTCAGCACTGAAATAAAGAACTGGCCCCATGTAACTCAGTATAAGATAAATGATGCATAGCTCAATTAATCAATTGAAGATATAAGTTCAAAGTGCTCATTACACAATTAGAGGTTTTTCTTCTATCAGGAAAAACATGAAGATGTGCTACTGAACTTAAAAGTCATATCACACTAAAAACTACAATCACCTTTCCTAGAAGATCAATTTTTAAAAACAGAATACAAAATGCATGCAAAATTCCAATAAGAAATAACCATTTATAATTATATATATGTACTTACTGTTTAAAACTAATACCAAAGAACAGAAAGAACTGCCCACTGAATCCATTTCAAACGAGGCAAACTGGATCTTAAAATTAGTTCTCTCAGGGAAGGTAATAAACCATTTAATTACACCTTACTCTGAAGCAGGTACTTAGTATGAGACGCACCTCTGTGTCTGTTGCTTGCCTCTGAGTAAGAATTCTAGAACTGCTTGGAGCAAGAGAGGGAAGGTGGAAAAGCTACAAAGGAAAATCTAGTCAGCAGAGGGTAAAACCGATAATATTGGAATATGCTATTTATTACTTGAGTTAAGTAAGACCCAGTAGTTATGACCCTTTCACTGATCTTGACATTCTAAACTTGCTTTACTGCTTATTAAAAAAAAAAAAAAAGCTAAATTAGGCCTAACTCATGGAACTGAGTCAGCAGGTATCTACATAAGGAGCTGCCTTTCTCTCAAGTCACCTAGTCTTTCTGCCATCAGTGACAGGTACACACCTCAGTGCCTCTAGGACTCTACTTCGTCCACTGCGAGCAGAGCGAGTGCTGTCAGGGGTGGAAGAAGCACTGTTACAACCACTTTTTGAAAGGGAAGTCCTCTGCCCTTGGGGTTTCACTATTGATGTTGCAGACATGATCTCCTGTAACTGCTTTTGAAAGTTCTCTCTCATCTCCAAGGTCTGTGTCAGAGCTAAAACAAACACAAATACAACAATCAAGCTAAGATCCTCCTTTTTATCCTATCTTACATTAACTATTTTGTCTAGATCTTGATTTGACATTTACCGAATACTTAACTACTGGCTACAGTAAATGCACTACGGCTATGAATACTGCAGAACATAAAGGCAGCCAGCCCTTACTATAAGGACTGTATAGGAAATAATTAGAAAGCCCTCCGAAGACACTGTATCTGTAGTGAGTATCCCTTTGTACATACAGCTCCATGCCTGCTTCTGACCCTCTCTCATGGTACGTTCTACACTCTGAGATGCATTGCAGTCATTTATGTGTCTGATTTTCCCCAATGGTTCTTCAAAACACAGACCACAACATACAGTCAGCCCTCTGTATCTGTGCATACAAGTTCTCTATCTGTGGATTCAACCAATCGTGATGGAAAATATTTGAAAAGGGGAAAAAAAAAAAAAAAAAAGATCAGGCACAGTAACTTATACCTACAATCTCAGCACTTTGGGAGGCCAAGACAGGAGGATGGCTTGAGGCCAGGAATTATAGACCAGCCTGGGCAACATAGTGAGACCCTGTCTCTATAAAAAAATAAAAATAAAAAATTAGCTGGTCGTGGTGGTGTACACCTGTAGTGCTAGCTATTTAGGAGACAGAGGCATGAGGACCACCTGAGCCCAGGAGTTCACGGCTGCAGTGAGCTATGATCGTATCACTGTACTCTAGCCTAGGCAACAGAGCAAGACCCTGTCTCTGCGTGCCCCCCACAAAAGAAAAATCCAAAAAATAAAGTATATGGGAGGATGTGCATAGGTTCTATTCAAATCCTATGCCATTTTATACAAAGGAATTGAGCATCTGTGGATTTTGGTATCCAAAGTGGTGCTGGAACTAATCCCCTGCAGATACTAAGGGATGACTGTATTTATCTTTGGTATAAAACAGCATGTATAGTAGTCTACCATTTATGTATTTTTTTAAAAGTGGGGAAAGAACAAACATTTATGATTGCATATGCATAAATCCTTCTAGAAGAATACACAGATACTAATAACATTGGGAAGCTGGACACTAAGAGTCGGAGAAATTCTTCATACCTTCTTCTGAAACTTTATATTTTAATA